CTCTCATCTCTGTCATTTGTTGATGCTTCTGGGTTTTCTTTTTGTTTCTTTTCTTTTCCTGATTTCACTTTGTTATTCTCTGTCAAAATTTCTTCTTTATATTTGATATTATTAAGAGCTTGACTTGTTTGGTATTGTGATACAGTAATGCTTAGTTCTTTCATCTGTTCTTCCAATATCTCTACTTCTTGTTCTACATCTTTGTGATTGTTTTCTTTTTCTTACTTATCAGTACTTTTTTCTCTTTGATATAGGTTTTCTTTACTTATACTTGTGTTATGTTCAAATGCATCTGGGTTGCAGCTTATGGCCCTAAGCTTTTTTGCCCAATTGTCGATTACTTCTTCTTTAAGCCAACTTATTTCTGCTAATCTTAAGGCATCCAATACCTGACTGTATATTAGCAAGTCACATGGTGTAATATGTTTCGGGTCGTAGATTGCTAATTCTTTTGCAATGCACTCTATATTGCTTGGTTCTTTTGTTGGTATCCTAAGAACTTGGTCCAATAATTTGCAATCTATATATCTACGATTTCTATCTTCTATTCCTCTAATGTAATCTATAACATCTATGTTATGTACTTTAGCTATTGGTCTATATTTCTTACTATGGTTCAGTTTCCTCTTTTGTATACTCTGTGTATATTTTGCTATACTATTTGGTACACATGTTTCCCTATTTGCTTTGTTTGTTTTGTTTCATGTTCATGTAACCTAAGTAATCTGCACAACAAGGTCACAGCTATTCCCCAAAATTTTCTAAAAACTAAACTTTTTGTCAAAACTTTTTGCTTTTCATTTCTATACTATATTGCCAAAACTCTAATTTCTGTTTTTGTCTTTGGTTATATGTAGCTTTTGCTACTCTATCTTTTTTGCTATAAGTCAAGATGTTGTTTTTTAGTATGTTTCTATGTTATTTCTTATTTTGCTTCTTGATGATTTTTGATCGAGGGATCTGCAGGAGAGGATTTTTTTTTTTTGTATTGATTTAAAAGGCTATTAATCATAAAATATATGCAAATTACATTTCAATCAATTAAATGTAACAGGTAATGAAAGACGAATTCATAAAATGTATGCAAAGACGTTATAATTTCAATTATTATTGAATTATAATAAATGTTTAAAAAAAAATAATAATATGAATGTTAGTAGTCTTCGTTTGTCAATGTTAGACATAAGGTCAAAATATTTAAGGATCACTTGTAGCTTCTTATTTTCTTTAAATTGGATATTTTCTTGATTAATAATTGAATAAAACTGACTTCTTTGTATTCCATTATTTTTAGTTGATCCGTCAGAGATTGTGATCATATTATCCTTTATGCTTATATTTAAGTAATGTTAGTTGATTTTGATTGAAAGTTCTTTATCCTTTTTGTGACTCTGCATTTTTTATTTGTAGTTTTTTTATTTGATTCTTCTAAATTATTCCGTTCGAATTGTAAAACCGTAATAATTAAATCGGTATATTAAGTAGATGTTCGATAATTGGTTATAAGTTGGTTTATCTTTTTTTCACATTGATTATTTCTTGCAATGATTTAGTTGGAGTGCTTTTTTTCATCTTTATCAATTACTATTATTTGAACATGTTGTATTTTCTGTTCTCATGCTTTCAAGTTCAATAGTAAAGGTTTTCTGATTATTGATTTTGACATTATTTGTTAGCACCTTAAGAGAGAGAGAAATCTTCATAAACGTAAAAAAAAAAAAAACTAAACTGTGGTTTATATGATTGTTGTCGTAATTTTTTGACTGTGACGTAATTCTGACAGGTTTGTGGCGCAGCACAACTTCTTTAAAGTTCGCTTATGTAGATTCTAGTTTTGGAATCAAAGAGTAGTAAGTTTATATAGTAAATTGCCAACAAACCTTTTTATTAGAGTTTTCTTTTGCTGATTTTTGAGAAGTAGTTTGTTTTGAATTTTCATGATCGTGTTACGTTACGCCTGATCTTGAAATCTGATTCGTAGTTCAGAAAATCTGCCCCAACAAATCTGAAGAATTGCTAGTCGGTAAGATCTTACCAGAAGTGTTTTTTTACAGTTACAGTAAATCACATTCAAAATCAATACGCGAGTTACTGTAGCAAGTAAGTTCTTAACAGAATTTTGCAGTTACAATAAATCCCGACACAAATTGATACACTAACGATCATTCTAACTAATCTACATACAGTATGCTACCACAGCGAGTAGAATTTTTCTTTTGCTAACGATCATTTTAACTAATCCACATACTGTGTGTCACTACAGCGAGTAAATTCTTATCAGAATTTTTTTTTTATAGTTACAATAAATCACGGTAAAAAATCAATAAACTAACGATCATTAATCCACATTAATGATGCCTGATGAATGGCGAAATCTTTCGTCACTGACAAATGATGAAACCTTACGTTACTGATAAATGATGGTTTTGGCAGGCAACTTTGAATTGACTAATGACGAAACTTAAATTTTATATGACAAATGAAGAAAACTAAAAAAAGGGATTTGTCTATGTGAACTTAATTTTTGTTCATTATCCCAACATTTCTCGATGATTTGCATTACCCAGATATATCCGATAGATCTGATGAAACAACAGTAATTTTGAAAATTTTTGATTCAGAATATCCGGAGGTCGTTTTAAATGAGCTTGTTGAAAGATGAACAATTGCATTTTTATATTTTATTGGTCAAATTAATTTTGGCAAGAGTTTCGTCAATCATTAGTAGTTTCATCAAATCGTCAAGTTTCGACTGAAGAAACCATTTCGTCAATACCAAATAGTTTCGTCATGCATTATTAATCCACATGCTGTATGTCACTACAGCGAGTAAGTTCTTATCAATTTTTTTTTACAGTTACAATAAATCATGGTATAAATCAATACGTTAACAATCATTCTAATCTACATACTGTGTGTCACCTCTATAGTTCATAAGTTCTTGATTGTTTTGGTTACAATATATCAAGGTAGAAATCAATACAACAACGATCATTCTAACTCACATACTGTTTCATTACAGCAAGTAAGAATGTTTTATATTACAGTAAAGCACGATATAAATAAGTATACTAATGCTGTAATGATGATAGACAGTATGTATTAATTATTTTTAATCATAGTTTTTAATGTATTATTATAAACTTATTATTCAATATAAGATTTAAAGATGAATTTCATAATTGGACAAGTGACTATCCCGACATTGATGAATTTATTAAACAAACTCAACTTGAGGAATTTAGAGACACTGTCGAATGGATACCTTTTAGGAAATTCACAAATATAAAATTTCCTGCTAAGAGAGGGTTTGGCACTGTTTTTAAGATAGTATGGACTGATGGATAATTTATTGATTTGATAACCAAAAGAATGTATGGAAATGACGTGCACAAATAATATTTGTTTAAAAGTCGTTGATATTTCTAAGGATATAAAAGAATTTTTAAATAAGGTATATGTTATATAAATTATTATTATGATCGTTGTTATTGAGGTCTTATTTGTTCTAAGAAATAAATAATTTAGACACAAACATGGAGGTATTCAACAATTAAAATTTATAGAATAACTAAGAATCCAAATGATGATAATTATTATGCAGCACGCAAAACAATAAAGTCTTTGAAAATTATTAGATAGTAAATATCATAATTTAGATTGGAATTTCAAAGTTACTATCTTATATTACATAGCTGATGTGCTTAATGCAATTCACAAAGCCAATTTACCAAAAATATAGTTAACCAAAATGTGTATAATTCTTACATTACGTACTGATTTTGGATTATGTAAGCAAGTATCTCAAAATTCAAACACTGAGAAGATCTTTGGTGTAATTCCTTATATTGATCTAGAGGTATTATATACGGGCGGAAAAGAGAATACTGAAAAATCAGATATTTATTCTTTTGGGATTATTATGTCAGAATTTTTTACTGATGTCACGGGTTTTCTGTGACATGCTACTAAGAAATTGGAAGCTTGGATTGGATGTTGTTTATCGTTCCTAAATTAGTAATGATTTTAATTGTCAAGTGTAGCGAAACTCTGGATCATTGAACCTTAATTTCAGAAGCTTAGCGGATGGAACTGTGAAATTAAATGTGGGATTCTCAACTACTTTTGGATTTAATGAATTAGCCGAAGTAATGAAGATTAAAAAACGAATTATACAAGCAAATTAAAAAAATTGAGGACTCTGACAAAAATTTAAATCACATCACATCAATACAACTCCTACCAGACACATAAACAAGCTATCTATACAAGTCGGCTTTTGAATTCCTAAACCAATAAATGCAGGTGAGAAAGTTATCCAACCAAATATTGGTTTAAAATACTGGTTTAAAATACTCTTAGTTCATACTTATTAACTCTTAACTTGTGTTAGTATGCAAGCCTGTTGAGCACCCAAATCTTGACGGATATCTTTGTAAAGATAAAATTTGTTAGTATTTATATTGAAAATAATTTGGTTTTTTAAAGCAAAGCAGATTAATGTATAAAAGCTGTTAAATTGGAACATGCTACTAATTTTACTAATCTAAGATTATTAGGTTTAATCGCATATAAAACTATATAATTGCCAAGTAGACTAAATTATAGACAAATAAATTGATCCAGTTCAATAATAACCCTGATCTTATACATGTAATTATTAGCCAATTTTGAAATTAATAAGATTATTAAATTTTAATTTAGTAAAACAAAAAATTTTGATAAATTAATCTGTTTAAATAATTCTATTAGGAGATTTCAACAAGCCAAAATTACTAGACATTGCACTGTCAAATAATAATGCATCTTCATCTTCATGTAAAGTTGTTTGATTAGACATAGGTCTAACCAATCAATCCGCATGGTGTGTATATATTTGATAGTGCAAAATCTTGTGATCATATATTCGTCAATTAACGTTAATCTTTAATATTATTTGAGTTATTACGTATACATATTATCGATAACTTATCTTGACAAAAACTATTTATAAAGATCTGGGCTGATGTGCATACCTGATACGTACATACGTACGCACGCACGCCAATGGTACATTGTGTTCGATGATAAATGCTTGTACGACGGATCAACCCAAGCTATTCTTATGAAGGAAAGTTTAACACAATGGAAGATTTAGAATTGCCAACTCCATACAATGATATTATTACGCCGACTGCGTGGAATATTGAAAATAAATCACCATTTATAAACCTTTAGGCCTAATGTTGCTTATTGTAAGGTTAATGGTACATAGTAACTTGTGCGCCGTCAATATGGTTTGCTACACAAAGATCATTAATGCGTAGATTTTAAAATGAGATTTGTAGATTTGTTTACATAGACCTAAAAGGAAACAGCCAATCTGGGTTCAAATTTTGATCATACGTGCAAAAGAAACAAGCAAAAATACTCAAAAACTAGTGTTTAAATTGACCTTGATGCACTAATTAAAAATGTCGGGACCGAAACTTTACATTAATAGGCAATAGCTATGGCTATTCATAGGCATAAGCTCGTCTGATTGGCCAATAAATTCAATTTAATTTTACATTATTTATAAAGTTTAGAGTACTTTCTAAAAAATACGAAAACCAACCATAATAAAGTAAAAAAAAAACTATATTGAAGGTTTCATCAGAGCTGTAGGATTCCATAGTCAAAAATAAGGTCCAATTTTCGTCCGTTTAAAAAAGTTAGCACATGAATCTTAGATAACTATAGAGACTATACAAAGTTTTTTTAATTGAATACATAAGAGTAATCAGAATCCTTTTAGGGTTCGTAAACAAGAAACTTTCTGTTCACCAAGAGAAACAATTACAGTAATAACTTCTCAAATCCCGATAAAATCAACTTATTACTAAGCTAATTTTTTTAAACGGACAAGAATTAGACCTTATTTTTGACTATGGAATCCTACACCTCTGATGAAACCTTCAATATGGTTTTTTTTTTACTTTATTATGGTTGGTTTTCGTTTTTTTAGAATGTACTCTAAACTGCATAAATAATGTAAAATTAAATTGAATTTATTAGCCAATCAGACAAACTTCTGCCTATGATATGGCTATAGTTCTAATATTAACGTCCTAACCCTAAATTTGTGTTTTTACGCACTTTGTTTTCTACATAAGCTAACCCTAACTGTATCAAACAGGTAACTCTAACTGCACACGGGCTTTAAACGATCTCCTCTTTTGGGTTACAAATAAGTAAATCTCCAAAGAGTTGTGTATTACGTAATCACCAAAACCAACTTTCTATAATTCTGTAATTGTAAAGCTTATTTAACAGTTTACTTGTTTACTTATTTGCGGAAATCAGTCGTAAATATAGAAGTTTGGGGTTAGGGCGTTAACATTAAAGGCTACAACAATAGATCGATTTAACTCTAATTTTTGAATATTCTTCTTTCACACGTGTTCGGAAATTATGTTGGGCTGATCCAAAGTCAAATTTTGTACACTCCAATTGGCTATTTTCTTTTTAAGGGTTTGTACTACTCGACAAATAAATGCGTGCCTTATTTAATGGAATTTAACAACCTCATAAAACTTTACCATTTCGAAATGAGTGCCGCTGCCGGAATGCCTTTATGCCATCTTTAATTGTTTCAGTGACCTTAATAAATATCATAAAAATTTGTTTCATGCCTTTTAGTCGATCGTAAATGGTAGAATTGTTGTACCAATACTATGGTGCAAACCGCTAGATTATTCATCGATAAAAGAATTATAACTACGTATGTTTTATCGTTGAACAATTCAAATCCATTATTTGATTATACGGCTCATACTGCTATTGGTTTTAATTTTTATTATAGTATCGCAAATTGGTTTGGTTATGCTTCATATTATTCATATAATTCTTGTGAACTATTTTTAATAATTTAAAATTGTCATTGATCAAAATATTTCTGTAAAAATGTAAGAATCTTAAAAATTCAAACATTTATGGAATTATTGATAACAAAACAATAGAAATCCTTAATATAGACACCAATTTAGCTTCTCTAAAACTTGAAGACAATGACTTTGGCTCAGAAGAAATAAAAATATTATTGGACGTTCTCTGTAAAAATACGAATTTGACCTCTTTGAACATTACTAAAAACATGCTTACTTATGAGGGAGTGGGAGAATTAGCAAAAACACTTTGTAGAAACTCCATTCTGACCTCGTTGAATCTTTCTGAAAATTAACTTGGTCCTGAAGAAGGAAAAACAATAGCAAAAATTCTTGGTAGTTATTACACCTTGATATCTCTTGGAATCAACTTGGTTATGAAGGAGAAAAAGCCTTTGCAAAGTTTCTTTACGATAATTTCACTTTAAAATTTTTGAATCTTTTTTTGGAAACAACCTTGGTTCTGAAGGAGTAAAAGAATTAGCAATGACTCTTTACAAAATCATAGCTTAACTTCTTTGAATATTAGTCATATAAGATTGGGCCTGAAGCAGGAATAGCATTATTAGATTCCCTTAATAAAAATACCACACTAATGGTTTTATAACTGCAGGATATAATTTCTCTATTAAATATAGTAGGGACCAACAATTAAAAGAAAAAATCGGTAATATAGTTAATTGTGCATTATAGAATAAAAATTTCTTTCTATAACAGTATCTACACGTAATATAAAATAAGTACACTACAAAATGATCCGGCTTATACTCAGAAGTGAGTATCGGCACTCGGATAACTTTAAATTAAATGAGTTAGTTTGATTTAAATAACATCGTATATAATTTCAAATATTTAAACTATAAAGCTTTTAGAGAAATTTTATTTATAAAATACACTTATAGGCAGTGTTGTCACATTTACCATGTCCACAGATTTTTTGGCTGTCCATGTCCATGTCCAGTCCATGTCCACGTCCACGTCCACGTCCACGTCCACGTCCACGTCCACAGATGTCCATGATGTTTATGCATCTTATTGCTTAATATATATTATTAAAAATATATAATTATATATAAAATTTAATGATAAACATTTTTACTTAATGTACAAAATCAAGTTATCATAATAAACTTTTGAGCTATTAACATTTTTTTTGTGCAACATGTTCGTATATTGTCTATACATTTGTCCACATGTCTGTCCACACCTGTCCATTGACAACACTGCTTATAGGTACTTAAAGTACTGGTTTTCTTTAAAGTATCCTAAATTGAAAGTATGGTTTCTTCATATATCAACAACCTCTGAAAATTTGAAGGGAAATTGCGAACGATCTACTGGGCCGTTTTTAATCATTTTACTACGTACCAGTAATATAGTCTCAACTAGTGATATTAGGCGAACTATTTTTATAAAATGACGAAAAGAAATCTAACGAAAGTGAAATTTGAACAAAGCCTGGTAAAAGTTTAGTGCCGTACTATAGTATGTAAACTAGGCTATTCACACTTCTGTGATGCCTTAAATTTTGTGCATTATGGCTGTACCAGGAACTTGATACGCAAAACGAATCGTGTAATTTACTAATGACTATGTTGCAAGATTTTAGTGGCGTCAAATATCAATAAAATATGTGTCAGGGCTGGTATAGAATCTTTTTCTGAATGAAAACTTCTACCTTGTGCTTTGCCAATCATTCTGGCTTTACAAATTTTCTATTTATTGGTTTTATTAGTAAAAAAATATGTAATACTTTGTATGTAAATAAAATATATAAAGCAATATTACAGTGGTTTGAATATATGGTTAACAAAGCTTATAAATTTGACTTTTACAAATCATAAATTTTTTTTATGGTTAGAACTAGGGAGAATGATACTTTTTAAAACATGGGGCTTAAGCTAGGATATAGAAAAAAATCTTTTTTTATTAGATATATCAGATAAATATTTGATCCTCTGCATTTATCAAACTTCAAAACTAATAATTTCTTATTATTATGAATATTTAACCGAGAACTTTGATGAGTTAATATTTTTTTAAACCGTAGATCGCAAATCATAGAACATTATAAAAAAAGCAAAATGAAAGGAAATCTATCTTTTTGAAAATAAAAAGAGACGATTCGAGCAAAAATAACTTTAGCTTGAAATGGCGTCTTCGTTCTATTAATTTTATTGGATTGGTTAATTTCATCACCCTTTGGCAGTTTTGTCACTTTCGTCATTTCGTCTTTTTAAAAAATTTTAATATTAAGCCTAGTTTCGTTTTTCGTCTCTCAACCCGAAGAATAACTTTTATTAAAACCTGAAAATAGGCTTACTTAATGCTAAACCTAATTTCAGTACTTTTTTTTTTGTTCCGTTTACTTTTTATGCAAAAAAAGTTGCTTAAATGAAAAGTCTTTGCCTACAAACAAATGAACCAAGACCACAGGCAAAATTTTGCTGATCAAGTTACATCTAATCTCCAAGTTAACAATGCTCTCTTTACAACTAATGCTACAGAATCACTTGAAGCTTCATAGCACAAAATTCAAAAAAAGCATTATTGCAGCTGCTCTTCAACTATTTACAGAGGGTGTGTTTAGATTAGACTAATTATTTAAGTTATTGGTGGCGCTGCCACAATGAGTCAATTTGCAATTTTGATCATTTGCGTGACGAATAAAGATTAACTACATGTTACGATGCAATCAAATTAAAACTCAGACAATGACTCCTACCAATCATGATCATAAATTGCCGGATAACACCAATATTGGGCAAACTTCATAGGAAGACTTCCATACGATTGGCTGTTTAAATCAATTTAATTTTACATTATTTATACAGTTTAAAGTACTTTTTAGAAAAATAAAACTACGAAGAATAAACAAAAGAAGTATATAGAAAGTTTTATTAGGGTTGTAGGACTACTATTAAAAATAATCAAAATCCTTTTTTGTTTTAGAGAAGTTAGAATGGTAATAACCTAATTATATCTATCTTTAAGAAGTCGCTATTCTCTAAAACAAAAAAGGATTCTGATTATTTTTAATCGTAGAGTCCTATAACCCTAATAAAACTTTTTATGTGCTTCTTTTTTGTTTATTCTTCGTAGTTTTATTTTTTCTAAAAAGTACTTTAAACTGTATAAATAATGTAAAATTAAATTGATTTAAACAGCCAATCATACGAAAATCTTTCTATGATGGCAAACTGTCGAATATGATAATTTGTCTCAGATTGCCAAGTTACTGTTATTCGAGAATTTTTTTCCCAATATTGTATACTTAATAAATTCTTATTTGTCACATACAATGATTCATCACACCCATATGGCCAATGGCAATTATTCTTATCACTAATTGGTTACGACAACAATATAATCAATTATCATTGCATAAGAATTGAGCTACAACTAATTTTCGGTACCCCAGGTTTAAGATTATACTTTGGTACCCACAGTACCCTTACTTATTTTATTGCAATAGTACTGATCCGCACAGCACTTGGGTACAGATACTCTATAAGTATATGTCCGATACCGACATAACTTAGGATATATTGCTAACTAATTAATTATGTTGTATAACAAATAAATATACGATATTCAGTACGTATGTATTACGCATTATTAGTTTTTTTTTTTTTTAATCAAAATGGAAAATAAAGATTTAACAAAAGAGAGATTAGTAAAAGATACTACACAAATAATTGATGATTTTAATTGTCAAAAATCAACAGATATGAATGATCCAGAAGGAATGTACAGGCTCGGTTATTGTTATGAATATGGAATTGGTGTTGAAAAAGATGAAAACAAAGCATTCATTTATTATCAAAAATCTGCAGATATGAATGATTCTAATGGGATATATCAAATTGGATATTGTTATACTTTAGGAATTGGTGTTGAAAATGATAATCGTAAAGCATTTGAGCATTACCAAAAGTCTGCTGAAAGGAATAATCTTAATGGAATCTTTAAAACCGCTATTTGTTATAGATTCGGAGTTGGCGTTGGAGAAGATTATACTAAATATCGGAATTGGATTAAAATGTGAGTCAAATGTTCATTTTATTATTTTAAAAAATTGTGAATACTCATACGAATTAATTATCCACTTTTAATTATCAGGGAGTAAGTATAAAAATCTATTAATTTACTTATTTAGCTAATTAAATTCATTAATATTAATCATTTGTGCTAATTTAGCCCGTGAGTATAAAGAAAATTTATTAATTATGGGGATTAAAACCAAATAATTTCGCAAATAAAGACTACAAATATTTATTTACCATTACTTAATACCTCTTCAAATCATTTAATTCACATTAACTTTAGTATGTGAGTATAAGGAATATTTATTCATCATTGGAATTAAAAACAGTAAAACATGTTCACAAATCATGAGCATAAATACTCATTTATCATTATGCAATACTCTTCAAATAATTTCTTTCGCACTAATCACCTCATTTAGCTCGTGAGTATCAAAAACATTTATTCATCATTGGAATTAAAAACAGTAAACCAAAATTCACAAATTAAGAACATTAATATTTATTTGCCATTTTGTAATACCATTCAAATCATTTCACTTAGTGAGTAAGTATAAAGAATATTTATTAAATCATTGGAATTAAAACAGCAAAGCAAGTTCACAAATTAAAAACTAGAATACTTATTTACCATAATTTTTATTCTTCAAATCATTTTATTCGCATTAATTTAGTCTGTGAGTATAAAGAACATCCATTAATCATTGGAATTAAAAATACAAGTTCACAAATCAAAATAAACACTTATTTACGATTATGTAATACCCTTTAAATCATTTTACATTAATAATTTAATACAGATCGTGAGTATAAAAAACATTTACAATAATTAGAATTAAAACAGCAAAATAAGTCTGCAAACAAAGAACATAAATACTTATTTACCATTACATAATACCATTCAATTACTTCATCATTCCATTTAGATCGTGAGTATAAAAAGAAAAACAAGTTCACAAATCAAGAACAGAAACACTTATTTACCATTATATAAAATCTTTCAAATCATTTCAATCGGATCGATTTAGTTATTAGTGAGTATAAAGAATATTTATTAATCATTGGAATTAAAAAACAACATAGCAACTTCACAAATAAAGAATAGAAATACTTATTAAGTATTTACCATTATGTTATACCCTTCAAATCGTTTCATTCTCATTAATCACTTCATTTAGCTCGTAAGTATAAGAATCATTTATTAAATTGTTGGAATTAAAACAGCCAAACAAGTTTACAAATCAAAAACATAAATATTTATTTATCATTACAATACACCTTAAATAATTTCATTCACGTTAATTTAGTCGGTGAGTAAAAAAACTATTTGCATTCGATATTTAAAATTTCATGATAGATGTAAAATAATTTTTTATGCTTAATAATTATAAAGTTCATCTAAATATGGAAAATGTGCATATTGCAATGAAGATAACATGAATAAAGCATGGTGTCTATCATGTGATCCAGTCATAGCAACACAATGGACAAGTGGAAATAAGAATATTGATGATTGCATGAAAGCATTTCAACTTAGAACCCTTTCATATGAAGATATAATTGAATGGATCCCATTTGATAGGTTATCTGATATTAAAGAGATCAGTAAAGGAGGATTTGGATCTATATATAAAGCGACCTGGTTGGATGGCATACGAAAAATTGATAACAATAATTTTAATTATGTAAGAGGACGTGAACTATCCAGCATCGTTACACTCAAGACCTTGTTTGATCCAAAGGCAAATACAAATCAAAATTCTCTTGATTTTTTAAGCGAAGTAAGTTAAAATTGTATTCGATAAGTTTATGTAATTATAACACATTAAACTAATGTTTATATAATTTCAAAGTTTAAAAATCATATGCAATGCATATTAAATGGTAGTAAACTTCGGATATATGGTTTGACTTGTAATACAAAGACTAATGAGTACTTTATGGTACTTCAGTATGTTGATGATGGAAGCATTCATAAGTTTTTACATTCAAATTTTAACAAACTTACATGGGAATTTAAATTAAAACAACTCAGAGATATATCTAATGATTTAGCTCGAATTCATGATGCAGGGCTTATTCATGCTAACTTCCATAGTGGTAATATCCTTCATAATAGAGGTACTTCTTATGTTTCAGATCTAAGATTATCTAAAAAAAGGAATGAAAATAGTTCAACGGGTTATATTTATGGTGTCATGCCTTACGTTGCTCCAGAGGTTTTATCAGGTGAAAAACCGTTTACACAAACAGCAGATATCTATGGTTTTGGTGTTATCATGACTGAAATGACAACTGGCCAAAGACCTTTTGATGGTGATAAATTTGAATCTGAACTTGCAGTCAAGATTTATAATGGATTGCGACCAAAATTTTCTTCCGGAACTCCTGATTGTTATGTTAAATTTGCTAATCAATGCATGGATTCAGATCCACAAAAACGACCTAGTGCATGGGATATTAATAATAAAATTGGTAATTTTCTCGATGAGTTAACTTCAGATAATGAAAATGAACTCAAAGAACAATTTTTAAATGCTGATGAAATTATTAAATCATTATCAATGATTCCTCAAAAGCATCCTGATAATATATATACTAGCAAAATTATTAATCCACAAAAAATATCAAATGCAATTAAAGGTATTATTTAAAGATTATTTAAAAATAAATGTTATAAATAGCTAAGATTAATTGCAGATTTATTGAGTTTGTTGTATTCCTGCTTGCAAGTATTACGATGTTAAGCTTTGTTATAAATATATAAATTCATTATTTATTTTATTTTATTTTTTATAATATATTGAAAATAAAATTATTAGTCTTATAATTTTTATCTACATCAAAAATATAATTAACATAGTTAAAATTAAAAATATTATATATTTAATTATACAAAAAAATTGGTTGTAAGGGCTGTTAAACTAATATCATTGTCAATTAATTAATATTCTGTTTATTCGGAATTTTGCGAATTCAAATGTTTCAGGAGAACTTTAGACGCCCATTTTCATTATTCAGTTTTCCAAAGAAAGAAAATGTGACAAATAATAGTTGAAACAATTTTGATGTAAATATATTTCAATTCATTCTTTATTTTTATATAAAGATAGTATAGTCAAATATACCCTCTTGGAATCTTAAAAACTAAAGCAAAACGTACACATAGAGAGGGTGTGCATTTATAAAATCAAAATCTTATAGACTCTTATAAACTGGAACCAAGCTATACGTACATTCAGAAAATTTATATAGAGCGTGCATTTATAAATTATGCACTTAGATAAGTTTGACTGCATTAATTGATGTAATGAAAAGGTAATAATTAAAAAGAGTTGACGAATTTGGTGGTTTAATATGATAAAACTAAGATGGTTATTGACGTATTGATAACAGTGACAACATTAAGGCGCATTTGTAAAATTTTCAGCTAAAATTCGGTCACCAAATACAAATATTATATTTTATTTCTAAAATTAAATGGAAAGCTATTGCTATGTTATATAAACCCTATTATTAAATTATATATTTACCTACCCTAAAACTCAGACTCCTTATATTTATCCTAACCTAAACTCCGACTCTAACTCGGACCAATGCAAACATTAATATAGGGTGTCATACAAACCAGTGTTATGAATGTAATTTTTGAAATTAAGTTTTAGTTATGAAATAAATATTAATCAAGCGATACTAAACTTAAAAAAAAATTCTTTCAGATTTATATAAATGTTTCCTACTCTTTAATCCATATTTAACACACCTCATTAGACATAGAAAATTATGCATTCTAGCATGGTGACATTGATTAGTGCAGGCAAAATCATCAAACATAGTATTGTTCACAATTAAAACTCAGAATCAATAATGAACCCCAATTTCTATATTGTGCTTTTGAGCCTTATCAACGATGTAAGCTACATCATTTATAGTGATACTAACACATTTTTTATAAGCAATGTCAAAATCAATATTATATACCGTAATCTATCATAATCAAGCACTCCTCTTTATCAGACTCGCTAATTTTAAATAATTTTTTATGTAGCAAAGTACACTATAACGATACATTAATAAAAAAGTTTCACTTTAAAAATATAATTAATTTACATTCAAATTTGCAATATTAATTAAAAACAATAACATTATATTATTATTGTCACAGGTAGAGATGTGCAAATGCATGTTTTTTGGCTCTGCATTACATAATGCAACATAATGCAGCATGTAACATTATGCAATTATGCATTTTGATAAAAAATTTCAATTTTTTCTATTAGTTCTAATTTGTATATACAAGTATTATTATTGATTAAACAAGATGTATTAATATTTGTTTAATAAGTTTTACAGGTTGTATAAATAATAAAAAGATTTTATATTTAATCATAAAGTGTTATTACTATAGTTAGTAATAGAATTACTAAATTATAACATTATAATATATAACTATTTTGATAATTCTAAGTTTAATAATTTAAAGATATCTATTTTTAAAATGTATATTTAAGAATTAAACTATTTATTACTTTACTAATCTATTTACTGTTATTTTATGCTTGATTCTTTGTTTTTATACTTTATATTTATTATAAATTAGATATAACTAGTTTTTATGTATTCTTAAATATTAAATATCTTTTATATATATTTATTTTTAAAACTTATATATTGTTATATAATAATTAGATTTAGATTAAATTGATTTTATATTTAATAATAAATTTTTTTATTATTACTTTACTTTTTTAATATATGCAAATAACTTTATAATATGATTTAATAATTAAATTAGTTTTTTTATTAAATAAATTAAAAAATTATTATATAATTATATAATAATGTTTATTTAAATAAATAATTACAATTTTATATAACCTATATAATTTTGTATAGTTTAATATTATATTTTTTAATATTTTTATTAAAAAATAAGGTAACTGCTTAACATACTTATATATTTTTTTAAAAAAATTAAGGTGATTACTTGTAATCCAGGATTTTATTAATAGTATATTTGACTAATAGTTGTATTACAACTCTAAGGGGCAACTATAAAAAGAGTATACAACTAGTCACTTATATAACTTTAGTCATTGTCTAATTTAAGTAGTCTGCCCAAAGGTTTTACATTAGCTGCCATACCTAGAACCTGCTTGTAGATTTCTTATTTAACTATTCTAGTTTTTGTATTTACCTATTTACTTCTGCCTACCAATGATCCTGGCTGATGTTAGTGAAAATTGTCATGATCACTAAGTCTTTAAAGCAGTTTTTGGAACCTCTGCTTTGTACTAAAACTTCTAGAATCTTCTGTATTCCATTTTTATAGTTGATCTGATATCACTATAGCAAAGATCAACACTGATGGTTAGAATATACTATTAAACTGCTATACTTTTGTAAAGTTTACCTCAACCCTAGTACTGACTTCACAACATATTCTTACTATTTTGGTATTCAATTCAAGTTCCACCAAGCTGCCATTTCAGATAGCCCAAAAAGATAAGTTGAAACCACACACCTTTGGTTTATATGTTTGCTGACATGTACTCTTTTTCTCTAAAATTTGGAAATTTCAGCAGTCTGGTTAGTTTATTTGGTCCTTTCTCAAAGACTAGCATATTTGTTTAGTTTCACAAATTTTAACTCTATTTTATAAGTCTAGTTTTTACAGTAGTATCATCAAAAGTTTAGATTACCTCTCTACTCAGGTCTTCCAAGTGGGCTTTTGTTTTCCTATCTGGTTCCTGTAATTTATATGGCCTAAGGACTTATCTTAAGTTCATACTGCCTGATACCAGTTTGTGTTCCTTCATACAATATTGTATGAGAGCTTAGACCTTCCAGTTATACTAGTATAATACAGATTATAGGTATCTTATCCTAACCAATCACAGAAGACAGTTAACTATAATACAAAAAAAATTGCAAATTTTTATCATTAGTGAAATTTGAACTCTAGATCTGCCACTTAGGAGTTAACAACCTATTTATTTTACTAGATCACTATATTCTTTACTTAATATACTTATGCTAAAAACTAAAAATAAAAGTAAATATAATAGTTAACAAATAATTCAAATAATATACAAATAAGAACTGATATAGTATTTTATAATATAAAGTATTTAATATATTTTATATATATTAATAATC